TTGTGTGCTCTCTGTGAATCTGAACCAGGATGCTCTCTCTTGAGCAACTTTACCAGCAGCTGAAAGAAGAGCTTAGGGTTCCTTAGCAGGAGATACCTGGAGGTTATTCCGGGGATCAACGCCCCCGCGGCCCGGTCCATGACCAGGCCTCCCGATGGATCAGGGCCTGATCAACTAGGCTGTTACTGCTGGCCGCACGCAGTCCGACGTACGAGCCACAGCCCGGCTGATCCGGCACTGACTTTAGGTATCTGTCCAGCTCTCTCTTGAAGGCAGCCAGGGGTTTATTGGCAATTCCCCTAATGCTTGATGGGAGGCTGTTGAACAGTTTTGGGCTCCGGACACTTATGGTGTTTTCTCTTAGTGTACCAATGGCGCCCCTACTTTTTATTGGCGGCATTTTGCATCGCCTGCCCAGTCTTTTACTTTCGTAGGGAGTGATTTCTGTGTGCAGATTTGGGACCATTCCTTCCAAGATTTTCCAAGTGTAGATTATGATATATCTCTCCCTCCTGCGTTCCAACGAGTACAAGTCAAGTGCTTCCAAGCGTTCCCAGTAGTTAAGGTGCTTGACAGAACTTATACGTGCAGTAAAGGATCTCTGTACACTCTAGATCTGCGATTTCACCTGCTTTGTATGGAGATGTTAATGTACAGCAGTATTCCAGCCTAGAGAGAACAAGTGATTTGAAAAGGATCATCATGGGCTTGGCATCTCTCGTTTTGAAAGTTCTCATTATCCATCCTATCATTTTCTTTGCACGTGCGATCGTGGCACTGTTGTGATCCTTGAAAGTGAGATCCTCAGACATTACTACTCCCAGGTCCCTTACATTATTTTTCCGCTCTATTGTATGGCCGGAGTCAGTAGTATACTCTGTTCTAGTTATTATCTCCTCCAGTTTTCCATAACGGAGTAGTTGGAATTTGCCCTCATTGAACATCATATTGTTTACCGTTGCCCACTGGAAAACTTTGTTTATATCTTCTTGGAGGTTAACCGCGTCCTCAGCAGATGACAGCCTCATGCGATCCTAGTATCATCCGCAAAGGATGATACAGTGCTGTGGTGTATATCTCTGTTTATGTCTGATATGAGGATAAGGAATAAGATGGGGCGAGTACGGCGCCTTGTGGAACAGAGCTCTTCACTTGGCACCTCATTTAACGGGGGATTAAGGGAGGAGAAAAAGAGGATTCAAAGAAATCCCCCGTTGTGAGTCCCCAGGTTAAGAGGGGAGTTTGGGTCAATTCCCGGGCAAAGGGAACCAAGCTGAGGATCAAGAAGACTGTTGGGAGGCAGAAACAACGAGGACCAGAAACTACTGTGGAAACTTCCAACCCATTTTCGGGCTACCTGACGATGTGGGTGTTCTAATGGGAATGTCCAACGAGCCCAAGGAAGCATTGGCTGACATGATGAGACATCCCAAACCCCCAACAAAAACCCCATCGAGAACGTTTGACGAATTCCACAATAAAGGGTGTAGTGCTACCAAACAAAATGTGATCGACTACTGGGAACATCACACGGACGTCGCCAAGGAAGGAAAAAACTTTGTTGTTGTTGGGGTTGCCCAATTTAGGTAATGGATAGGGCATTCTGCTTAAAGGGGTTTGGAGTAGGGGGCAGAGAGTGGTTTTTCCGGGGGCGGAGAAAGATATTGTTAGCCATCTGGATGACATCATAAAGGGGAAATGGGGAAATCCTATTACTGTCTCATGTGGGGGGCAACGATGTTGACAGCGTAGGAGTGAGAACCTGATTAGCGGTATAGGTCACAAATAAAAAATTTAGGGGGGAAGGGGGGGAACCCTGTCATATGTGGTATTTTCCCCAAGGAGAGGGTTGGAAAGAAGGTTGTCCAGAGAAAATTTGGGCAATTTTTGGGCTGGACAATACTGTAAGGAAAATCGTTAACATTATTGACAACTGGGACTTTCTTGGCAGAAATGACATGTACCCAGGGAGGGGTTCATTTACTAGGTTGGGGTAGGAGCACTAGCCAACGCAGTGGGGGAGCTGTTAGCTTTAAATGGGGAAAGTTAGTGGTGGGGGGTTTTTGGGGGGAAAACAGTGAAGTCCAGGTAGAAATTGAGTGTAGGGAAACTGTAATAGGCAAAATGAGGTGGATTTTGGAAAGCCAGTTTGTGAAATAAAAAAAAGGGGACGGGAGGGAAAAGAAAAGGGGGGCCCTTAAAAATATATTACACAAATAGCGTAGTGCTAGAATAAGATGGACGAGTTGAGACTAGTTGCTAGTGCGGGTAACATTATGATTTCCCCATAACTGAGACGGGGTTTAAATTCAAAAGTCGGGACATCCTGCAGAATGTCACATTGGGGGTTTTTAAATTGTTCCAAGTAGATAAAGTAGGGGAAGGGGGGGGGGTGGCATTGTATGTCCGAGATCGTTTGAACTGTTGCATAAAAACGGATATTAAGTCTAAAGAACACATACAGAGTTGTTTGGTTTGAATTTTCAGAGGGCATAAAAAAATTTTTTTTGGTGTGATATACCTTTCCCCCAAATTTAGATAGGGACCAGGGGAGACTCTATGGAGGAAAATTTTTAGGGCCCCCAAGGGACGTAAGTAGTAATTTTTTGGAGACTTTAATTTAGTCATATTATTGGAATTCTTGACTGGGTTTAGAATCATACGATTTTTAAAGAGTTCAGGTTGTTTTTTTTAAACATTTACGAACCCACAAGGGGTAAAACCTCTACTATTCCAAACCAAAAATCCCCATAATTTAAAAAATTTTAAAAATTCACACCACAAAAAACAAAATTTTCCTTAACCCAAATTCATTCTTAAAAAACATATCTTTTATTTTAACAAAAACATCAAAAAATTTTCTAACACAACTCCCCCAAAAACTTTACCCAATAAAGAAATTTCTAAAATGACCCCAAAATGGTGAAAAAAGGCGAAATATTATGGCAAAAAAAGGAATTTATGGCGTTCAAAAGAGGTGAGGGTCATCTTAGAAACAGTATAATAAACATTAAGAGGGACATTTTAAAAAAGGGGGTTTAAAAAAAAAATAAAAGGGACTATAAATTAAAGTTGCTAGGGGTTCTAAAACTAACCCAAAAAGTTTTTTTTCCCGGTTATAGAACAAAAGTTAGAGATAAGATAGGTCCCCTAAAAATAACTATGACATTTACGACAAAGAGAATGAAATGTGCTCGATTTTTAAAAAATTTTTTTTTCCGGTTTTTAACTGGAAAACACTAACAATATTCCAGTAATTATTTTTTATAGTGGGGCAAAGAAATAAAATTTGTAACATCAAGTCACAGTGAAAAAGGTTTGAAGCAAAAGACCCACTAAAGAAAAAAAAAAAGTCACCGGGTCCATGAGGGTTTTTCCAAGGGTTCTTTTAAGGAAAGCAAAAAGGGGAAACCCGTGAACCATTAACTAAAATTTTTCATTTATTCTTCAAACAGGTGTGTGTCTGATATGTGGAAAAGGCTAATGTAATTAATATTTTTAAAACAGGGGACAAGTCGTTACCTCAAATTACCGCCCAATAACCGCCTCAAATTTTGGCAAATTACTAAGTCAATTATTGCTGAATTATAAAAGCCCTTCGATAACATAGCTTGATTTTTGATACTCAGCAGGATTTACAAGAGGCCGGGGCTTTTTAACTAATTTTTTAACTTTCTTTAAAAGCTTTTTTAGGCTGTTTACCACGATAAAAAAATTTGATATTATTCACTTAATTTTAGTATGGGTTTTTTAGATTCCGCACCAAAGACTGTTAAAAAAGTGGAGCCAGGCATTGGGGAAGGGGCTCTTTGGATCGAATCTGGCTCACAACGGAAGAAGAGTGTCCATAAATGGGGTTAAATCCCAGTGGGGATCTGTAACAAATGGCGTTCCAAGGGATCAGTCTTTGGCCCGTTTTTGTTTATAATATGCATCAATGATCTTGATGAAGGAATTTCTGTGATATGAGCAAATTCGCCGATGAAACAAAGATAGGTAGGGTAATTGATTCAAATTAGATGTTTGGGAACTTCGAAAGGGTTTAGACAAAACCCTTTTTTGGGAGGAAAAGTGGAATCAGCTCAATGTAGATAAGCAAGGGTTTGAAACTCAGGAGTGTCATAATCCCCAGCACTTTTAAGTTAAAAATGTAGAACTTAGCCTTTCAGATTTCGAAAAAAGGGCTTGGGGGGGTTTTGGTAAGCGCACCTTAAAACCCAAGGGCAGCAATGCCTAAGCGTAGTAAAAAGGCAAATAGTTACGGGATTTATATAAGAAGTTAAGCCCAAAATCCAAGGTATATGCAGCTTTATGCATAAGAAAAAGAATTTAAGAAAGGGAACCCACGCAGCGCCGTTGGCCCCTACTAGGCAGGTCCCTTTTCAAATTTATCCCCCCTAAAAAAACAAACATGATTCTGGGTGAAGGAGATCGAACCTACGAATCTTGGAACAAGGTACGCAGTGCTTTACCAATATGGACTCTAAGGTATTAGTCCAGTGTGGGTAGATTGGTAAAGCACTGCGTACCTTGTTCCAAGGTTCGTAGGTTCGAGTCTCCTTCAGCCAGAGATCAGTGTTTGTGTATATTTCGCCTGCTCTTGCGAATTCCTTATATATATATATATATTATATATATATTATATATATATATATATATATATATATATATATATAATATATATATAATATATATATATATATAATTTTTATTATTATTATTATTATTATTATTATTATTATTATTATTAACAAACCGGCCGTATACCACCGACACAGGGTGACCTAAATTTAGTGACTTAATGCAAAATAACAAAGTAATATATACAGGAGAAGGGGTTACTAGCCCCTTGTTCCCGGCATTTTAGTCGTCCTTTATGACACGCACGGCTTACGGAGGAAGAATTCTGTTATGCTTCCCCATGGAGAAGATATATTTATATGTACTGAAACATTAGGATTTTTTTCGAATGTGAAAGAAAATGTTTAGTAATTCTCGAATTCTTCTTTTTCTTATATTTTATTTTGAACATCTTCGATAACATGAGGTTCTATGGGTAAACAATTTATTTAATGATACAATAAATTTCAGGAAGAGTTTCCTTTACAAATGAATAACAAAAGAATCCAAGTTGGTGCATTTCACTGCGACCATCCAAGATGTTCTTATTTAGTCCCAGTGGAAGGCTACAGCAGTGTTTCGGGTACTTTCAGAGTTCTATGGTTTGCTCACGATTGTTTAGCTGGTTTCCTGTGATCTCTTCCAGTGAGCGTCCGCGAGTCTCTGGAAGAGCAACAACGCTGACAAAGGTTATTGTTGCATTAGCGCCACTGAAGAGCCAGAAAGTGCCATGTTCACCAAGTGCTTCTACTGTCATTGGATAAGTATATGATGCTATAAATGCTCCGACATTGAGTGACAACGATAACGCTGAAGTGCCAATAGATCGACACGATGTTGGCAGAAGCTCTCCATTCATTACTGAAAAAGCAGGCTGGCCAATGCCAATAAAGAAGTTAAATATCATTGCTGTTGTCAGAGGTATCCACCCCATGCCACTAGCATTTCCTGTCTTATGCATGTATAAATATACACCATAAGCAGCCATACACAGCGAGCACAAAAAATAAGAAATTGTGATCAATGGTTTGCGTCCCAGACGGTCAATTACACAGAGATGAACTAAAGTTCCAAAAATCCTAACGATACTGAAAATTATGGCGCTGGTGTATGGATCAAGGCTAACCTCCGCTGCCTGGAAAATGGGCACTAAATATGACGTTATAGCGAAAGACCCATTCATAGTTACCAAGAAAGTTAAAACGGTCAATAACAAGACCATGTGAGCAGTTGTTGGTTCAAACAGCAGCCGCACTTGTTGCCATAAATTGTCTGTTTTCCTATCAACATTACTAATATGTTGAGTCATATCCTGCAATTCTGGCTCCGAGTCATAATGTTTGCCTCTGAAAAAAACAAGAGCTTTCTGAGCTTCGCTAAGACGACCTTGAGTGACGAGCCAACGAGGAGAGTTAGGCAGGAAGATGAGGCTAAAGAAAGGAAGTGCAGATACTCCGCAACAAACGAAGCCCATTTGTCGCCAGTCGAGCTTAGAAACTCCTAGAGAAGACACAAATAGAAATCCCGCTATCCTAGCTAAGCTAATGATTCCAGAAAGAGTTCCACGTACGTCCTTATAAGCGATTTCGAGGGTATATAGATATGTAGTGGAAATCGTAATGCCAACGGTGATACCCAGAATGGTGCGACTAGTTAAGAGCAGCCAGACAGTTGGAGAAAGAGCGAGACTGAGCCATGAAGCCACAGTGATGGGCAGGGTCACCAGGAGAGTCACTCGACGACCAAGCTTCACTAGTAGTGGTCCACTCACACAACACCCAACAGTTCCTCCCAGGTGTCCCAGGCTTCCTGCAATGAAGAGTTTCAGGACTATTACTATATAATTTCAGGTATATGAACTATGTTCCGTTCTGTGCATAATGCCCAAGAATGTAGATATAAACCATTTATGGTTTATGGTAACATCCATAAAGTTCACTGTTCAATTTGAACGAAATAAGTCATTGCCTTTTTTTTTCTTTTTATTTGTTTTAATTATTAAGGGGAACCAAAAATATATATCCTAAATATTCAGAAAAGTAACACTATTATTCTTCACATCATGACAGATTTAAATGTTATGTATTCTCCATATTTTGTAGATCTCTGCGCATTTGCAGCCCAGAGTTCACAGACGAAAAAATATTTAAGATTTACGAAATAGCATATAATCTAAAATATCCAAAAATATTAATTGACAAATCTTTTAAAATTTCCGGAAATAGATTTTACAGTTCGAAAAAGGATTGATGGACTGACCACATCGACTCAAGGTTGAGGGACTGATTACCTCATTCTTCTCCTGTTCTTCAAGTTTATCCTTTGTATGAACTGATGAAGCCACTGTGTGGCGAAACGTTTCCTCAATAAAGATACCCAAGTGTTGCCCATGTGTCTATATTAACAACGTGTCGGTTCTTTGAACCATTCATCTACAACCCTTTGTGTGTCCCCTCTCTGGAACATCTTGTCTCCGTCCGTTTTTTCTATTCCGCGAAGTATTTTGTATGTCGTTATTATGTCTCCCCTAACCCTCCTGTTCTCCAGTGTCGTCAGGCCGATTTCCTTTGGCCTTTCTTCGTAGGACAATCCTCTTAGCTCTGGAACTAACCTTGTCGCAAACCTTTGCACTTTCTCTAATTTCTTAATGTGCTTGAACCGGTGCGGGTACCAAACTGGTGCTGCATACTCCAGTATGGGCCTGACGTACACGGTGTACAGTGTCTTGAAAGATTCCTTACTTGGGTATCTGAATGCTAATCTCAAATTTGCCAGGCGCCCATATGCTGCAGCAGTTATCTGGTTGATGTGTGCTTCCGGAGACATGCTCGGTGTTATACTCACGCCAAAATCTTTCTCCTTGAGTGAGGTTTGCAGTCATTGGCTACCTAGCCTGTACTCTGTCTGTGGTCTTCTTTGTCATTCCCCAATCTTCATGACTTTGCATTTGGCAGGGTTGAATTCGAGAAGCCAGTTGCTGGACCAGGTGTCCAGTCTGTCCAGGTTTCTTTGAAGGCCTGCCTGATCCTCATCTGATTTAATTCTCCTTACTAACTTCACATCATCTGCGAACAGGGACACCTCTGAGTCTTTCCCTTCCCTTGGTTGTGTGTACTCACCTATTTGTACTCACCTATTTGTGGTTGCAGGGGTTGAGTCGTGTGTGTGGTGTGTGTGTGTGTGTGTGTGTGTGTGTGTGTGTGTGTGTGTGTGTGTGTGTGTGTGTGTGTGTGTGTGTGTGTGTGTGTGTGTTTGTGTGTGTGTGTGTGTGAGTGTACTCACCTATTTGTACTCACCTATTTGTGGTTGCAGGGGTCGATTCACAGCTCCTGGCCCCGCCTCTTCGCTGATTGCTACTAGGTCCTCTCTTCTCCCTGCCCCATGAGCTCTATCATACCTCGCCTTAAAACTATGTATGGTTCCTGCCTCCACCACATCACTTTCTAGGCTATTCCATGGCCTGACTACTCTATGACTGAAGAAATACTTCCTAACATCCCTTTGATTCATCTGAGTCTTCAACTTCCAATTGTGACCTCTTGTGTCTGTGTCCCATCTCTGGAACATCCCGTCTTTGTCCACCTCGTCTATTCCGCGCAGTATTTTATATGTCGTTATCATGTCTCCCCTGACAGGTGTCCAGTCTGTCCAGGTTTCTTTGAAGGCCTGCCTGATCCTCATCTGATTTAATTCTCCTTACTAACTTCACATCATCTGCGAACAGGGACACCTCTGAGTCTTTCCCTTCCCTTGGTTGTGTGTACTCACCTATTTGTACTCACCTATTTGTGGTTGCAGGGGTCGAGTCGTGTGTGTGTGTGTGTGTGTGTGTGTGTGTGTGTGTGTGTGTTTGTGTGTGTGTGTGTGTGTGAGTGTGCGTGTGTGTGTGTGTGTGTGTGTGTGTGTGTTACATTGTCCCATGGCATTACTAACATTCCAGTCATGAACCCTTTAAGAGGATACCTTGACGCTGGTGAAAGATCCATGCTTCGAGGAATTACAGCTGTCCTCTCTTTTCTTGGATTAAATTTGATTACCTCCCATTTCACAGGTGCTGTATGACCCTTATGGATTCACCACTTTGCATTAAAATAATACTAGTAATCCATACCAAAAAAGGCTGTTTGTGTCTGGTTTAGGAAGAGGTCGTTTGTCTGCGGGTCAGTGAGCTGTGGCAGCGTGATGCCCGAGAAGGCCAGTGCAGTACCAGCACTTACTTGCAGGAGTGCCATTACCAGTGTCGCAAACACCTGTTGGAAGGGAAGCAAGCTAGTGATAGTTATATTTAAACTTCGGTTTATTCTAAGTACTGTGTACTGATTCTAAGGTTGAAATTACGTTCTCATAAGATAATATCAGTGTTGAAGGTAGCTCTACACTATACAGAATAAAACAACAAGTACAAGCACGAATTCATCAAGTCAACAATGGTTGCATCACGTTTCGTTGTTAACAGTTAACAAGACCTGTGGGAGGGAGAATATCTGTGCGTCTTGTTTCTTCTCTCCTTAATGTCTAAATGCAGTTGAAGGGCTCTTGAGCCAGGGAATTTAAGCTGCTCTCCGCTTCCTTTTAGATTCAATAATAACAAAATAGCCCAGGTGATCCCAGCACAGGGTCAGTCCCAGGTGATCCCAGCACAGGGTCATTCCCAGGTGATCCCAGCACAGGGTCAGTCCCAGGTGATCCCAGCAGAGGGTTAGTCCCAGGTGATCCCAGCACAGGGTCAGTCCCAGGTGATCCCAGCACAGGGTCAGTCCCAGGTGATCCCAGTACAGGGTCAGTCCCAGGTGATCCCAGCACAGAGTCAATCCCAGGTGATCCCAGCACAGGGTTAATCCCAGGTGATCCCAGCACAGGGTCAGTCCCAGGTGATCCCAGCAGAGGGTTAGTCCCAGGTGATCCCAGCACAGGGTTAATCCCAGGTGATCCCAGCACAGGGTCAATCTCAGGTGATCCCAGCACAGGGTCAATCTCAGGTGATCCCAGCACAGGGTCAATCCCAGGTGATCCCAGCACAGGGTTAATCCCAGGTGATCCCAGCACAGGGTCAATCCCAGGTGATCCCAGCACAGGGTCAATCCCAGGTGATCCCAGCACAGGGTCAATCTCAGGTGATCCCAGCACAGGGTCAATCCCAGGTGATCCCAGCACAGGGTCAATCTCAGGTGATCCCAGCACAGGGTTAATCCCAGGTGATCCCAGCACAGGGTCAATCCCAGGTGATCCCAGCACAGAGTCAGTCCCAGGTGATCCCAGCACAGGGTCAATCCCAGGTGATCCCAGCACAGGGTCAATCCCAGGTGATCCCAGCACAGGGTCAATCCCAGGTGATCCCAGCACAGGGTTAATCCCAGGTGATCCCAGCACAGAGTTAATCCCAGATGATCCCAGCACAGGGTCAGTCCCAGGTGATCCCAGCACAGGGTCAGTCCCAGGTGATCCCAGCACAGGGTCAATCCCATGGGATCCCAGCACAGGGTCAATCCCAGGTGATCCCAGCACAGGGTCAATCTCAGGTGATCCCAGCACAGGGTTTATCCCAGGTGATCCCAGCACAGGGTTAATCCCAGGTGATCCCAGCACAGGGTCAATCCCAGGTGATCCCAGCACAGGGTTAATCCCAGGTGATCCCAGCACAGGGTTAATCCCAGGTGATCCCAGCACAGGGTCAGTCCCAGGTGATCCCAGCACAGGGTCAGTCCCAGGTGATCCCAGCACAGGGTCAATCCCAGGTGATCCCAGCACAGGGTTAACCCCAGGTGATCCCAGCACAGGGTCAATCCCAGGTGATCCCAGCACAGGGTCAGTCCCAGGTGATCCCAGCACAGGGACAATCCCAAGTGATCCCAGCACAGGGACAATCCCAGGTGTGACATAGCATCTTAATTTATTCATTATTCAGACGGTAGGTACAAGGAAACATGCGCAGCGTTTCAACAGTACCGGGAAGCGATCCCCAATCTCTCAGTGTGCGAACTGAGGACCCTACCAACCGAGTCACGAGTACCTTTATCTCCACCAATGAAACAGAAGAAAAAGAAGATTATTTACTTTTTTTTGGATACTTATGTTAACGGGCTTGAGAGATCGTTCAGTATCATAAATAATAAACCACTGAGAAAAAAGCTCTCGCTTGGACTGCCTCAGAGTTGAGCTTTATTAAGTCAGGAGTGAGTCGTTGACAAACAAAACGAAATGGTTTAAAGATTTCACCTAAGGGTAGCCTAACTTTTCCTCAGTTTCATATAGTTTTCCTAAACCAGGTGGGGAGGTCCTGAGCCTCATGCCTCAAAAACACATTTCCAAAACCAGCACAACACGAAAACAAGACTTTCCAAAAGGGCACTGTACAGGCTTGCCATTTAGACAGGAGTCTTTACTGACCGCATCACACAAACACTTTCCTCCTACTGAAGATGACTCACTGGTCAGACTTGATTTAATATCAGTTAGTAATATCGCTAAATTGCTTAGTATCATTCTTGATCATGCTGCTGTCACTCTCACTTCAGTGCGGGTGACTTCATGCCAGGTAAAGATAAATAATACACGAATTTAAAGCCACTTTTAACATCCTTAGATCAAACGTAATCAAGGGTGGCTTGAGACTGTCTATGTAGGAGCTTAGAGGTACTAATTTGGTTGGAAGGGAAGACCAGGGTTGGGAGCTTGTACTGAAGCTGAGTTTTCATTATTTTTTTTTTTTGTGGGGGGAAGAGTGAAGCTTTGGGGAGTTGAGGAAGAATATAAGAGCTTCAGCTTCTTGCAACCTTTTGCGCCAACATTGAGCATGATTACTTCCCATTCTCTTTTTCTGTGTAACCCACTGTGGATTAGTACCTCCTCATTAATATAATAACTAGCTATATACCTCAAAGCTTCATTGTAGTTCAGTGAATACTGCTGGAACTCAAGAAGAGAAGCTGGTAAACTAAGATTGGTGATAGTCACCTTGAAGAAGTCATGTTTAAAGTGAATAAACAAACCATACCACGGGCGGGGATAGAACCCGCGATCAGAGAGTCATAAAACTCCAGACCGACACATTAGCCATTGGGCCAGCTGGCTAAAATAAGATTCATCCAACTAGGTATATTTATACAGCCGTCATCATTAGAGATTTGTCTGTAAAAACTTGCTTTTGTGGTCACATTGGTGACTATGCTAACCTTCCTATGATGTATAAATATACCTAGGTGGATGAATCTTATTGTAACCAGCTGACCCAATGGATAACGCGTCGGTGTGGAGTTTTATGACTCTCTAATCGCGGGTTCTATCCCCACCCGTGTTATGGTTTGTTTGCAATCGTGTCATTACGATTTCGTGGGTTAAAGTGAGTAAGAAACTTGCAGGGAACACATCCATCTACCCTTGAAAGATTCTAGTACCAACCTGGGTGCCTATGGCAGGCTTGGTGCCATTCTGAAGAATGTTTTGGCGTGAGTCTCCCTCAGCTGGGCGTTGTGGGGTGGCCACACACTCCGCCTCAACATCTACATTCTTGTTGTTGTTATCCATGTCATCTGAGGAGTAATTACGAGATTCCATGTTCTTCGCGGGCATATTTTTATTTGTAGATTGTGCTGAATTAAAAGTTCCTTCTTTTACGTCGTACATTATCTTGTTTAAGTTTTATGTTTTTTGTTATATTGATGTAAAAATAAAAATGTTATGGAACTCGAAATGCAGGTGTCGAAAATTGAAAACGGTATAGCAGATATGTGTGGCATTAAATCATTTGCAGATAATTAAATCTGAAATATATGACCTGTGAGAGGCCTCTTTATTATGTTAGCAAGCTCAATCTTTAACTATTGACAAGTTTGTTGCCAATGTATCACTCAAAATGAAGGTGATGCTTGAAATTCCTTGAGGTGAGAAAACACCTGCAGTATTTCTGTATGAGAGCTGCATAAAAAATTACCTTGTTACGTAGAACTTTCGAACTGTTGACGATGGATTATATTATACGTGTTTCATATTCTACTGCACTGAGAAATAGATTTAGAATTGCTGGTGAAGATTATTGGATGGACTTGATGTGTTGCATTTATTACGAAACGCGGTCCGCCACATAGTTATTTTCTGCCAATACGTTAAGAACTGGTACAGTATTTCCTACAGAGAGAACTGTAGGAACGCTTCTACATAAAACTTTTAGATTCACACTGGTATTATAGCAGGTAGTAGTCTTAATATTGCTGGCTGCTGAGACCTCTCCTTCAGGAGGGACCAACACTGTAACTGATTCTGACGGAAGCGCGTGGAGACTCACCGTCACGTACACAATAACAAGATGATGTGATGGCGCATAGGATGACCATCCCAGAGAAAATATTCATTGTGACGGTACACTTCTAGTTCATTCAGTGCGTCTGCGACAACCCATCAGAGTTATAAACATGAAAAATTATGACTCCTGTGGGTGTCGAACATTGACCAGTGTTCATCCTAAATCAGACTTTATTCAACTTGTTTTATTAGATAATGATTAATTAATATCTTACTAAGTAGTCCTGGTAGCGATACTTGATTATTTTATTCTTCTCAGTTTTCCACTGCTTTGGTTCCAGAAGATTATTATTATTATTATTATTATTATTATTATTATTATTATTATTATTATTATTATTATTATTATTATTATTATTATTATTATTATTATTATTGTCATTATTATTATTATTACTATTATTATTACTTTCTCTGGGGAGCTCTAAACTGGAAGAGGTTATACAGCTTTTGGGGGAATGGTAGGCAAACCAGGTTCAGTCCAAGCAAGGGAAGGTCAGATTTAATTCAGTGGATCAAGAGCCCCTCACGGGCAGCAAGGAACCTCGCCTGTGGGGGGGTCACACTCTACAGTCTTGCTGCTTCCTGTATACCTGTCATCCATGAGTAGCCTGCCTAACTCGCGAGTACGGAAGTGAGTATCGAGCCTGTACCAATCCTCTCGAGGAAGAGTCCACATGGGTTTAGCGCTTGGTCTAATTATAAAGGTATCTGACTGTCGTCTTGACTGGTCTTCAGCGTTGAGTATTGGCAGTCTTCCTCCTGGCAGGACCAACTGTTCCTTGTTGTCCCTCATACCAGTCCACTTGGTGGGTTCCCAGCACACTAACGGAGCTAATGTGCTCGGGCACACTAGCTTCGTTAGTGTTATGACTGTTAAATTTTTCTGTCTCACTTTATTTTCTCTAATATTCTATAACAAAACATCAATGACAACAATTTTACCTATGTTTGAAAACCATTTGAACTTATCTAGACACTTAAAAACTAATTCTTTTAAACACGTGAAGGATAATAATTATTAATTCTCAAATTACCCTTTATTTTTTTTTAAATGTTATATTACGTCAGATATAATACGAAAACAGTTGACTTAATATTATGATAACGAACAAAAGAAATTTATTTATAAATGATTAATAGCAGAAGACTCCAAACTGGTATATAATATAGTAACCATCACATATGTAAACAAGCCATACCACGGGCGGGGTTAGAACCCGCGATCAGAGAGTCATAAAACTCCAGACGATTGCATGAGTCATCCCATATGTTCATGTGTATACACAGTGGGAGGCTATGGCAATTTGGTGTTACTTTCAGAGTCTTGTTGTATGGTGCCAGTTGTTAATGTGATTTCCCGCGATCTCTTCCAACGAGCGTCCACGGGTTTCTGTAAGAGCAACAGCGCTGACAAAGGTTAACACTGCACTAGTACCACTGAAGAGCCAGAAAGTCCCGTGTTCACCAAGTGCTTCTACTGTCATGGGATAGATATAAACTGAAATAAATGCTCCACACGTTAATGTTAAGGACAACGCCGAATTTCCAATAGATCGGCATGTTAAAGGCAGAAGTTCGCCATTCAATATTAATATAGCAGGTTGGCCAATGCCGATAAAGAAGATAAATATCATTGTTGCTGTAAGAGGTATCCATCCCATATCACTAACATATCCTGTCTTATGCATGTAAAAGTATACACCATAAGTAGCCATACACAACGAGCACAAAGAACAAGAAACTATGATCAGTGGTTTGCGCCCCAGACGGTCAATTGCAAAAAGATAAACTAAATTTCCAAAAATCCTCACACCGTAAAATATGATGGCACTGATGTATGGGTCAAGGGTGAAGTCCACTGCCTGGAAAATGGGCACTGAATATGACATTATTACATGACTCCCATTCATACTTGCGAAGAGACTTAAAACAGTCAATAACAAGAACGTGCGAGCAGTTGATGGTTCAAACAGCAGCCTCAGTTGTTGCCATGAATTGTCTAGTTTCTTATCTACATTTATAATCTGTTGAGTGATATCCTGTAATTCTGGCTCAGAGTCATAATGTTTACTTATGAAGAAAACAAGAGCTTTCTGAGCTTCGCTAAGACGACCTTGAGTGACGAGCCAACGGGGGGAGTTAGGCAGGAAGATGAGGCAAAAGAAAGGAATGACAGACACTCCGCAACAAACGAAGCCCATTTGTCGCCAGTCGAGCTTGCAAAATCGTAGAATAGACACCATTATAAGTCCCATTATTCTAGCTAAGGTAATAATTCCAGAAAGAATTCCACGAATGTTTTTATGAGCAATTTCGATAGAATATAGGAAAGTAGCGGTAAGGATGATACCCAGAATGGAGCGACTAGTTAAGAGCAGCCAGACAGTTGGAGAAAGAGCGAGGCTGAGCCATGAAGTCACAGTGATGGGCAGGGTTACCAGGAGAGTCACTCGACGACCAAGCTTCACTAGTAGTGGTCCACTCACACAACACCCAACAGCTGCTCCTAGGTATTCCAGGCTTCCTGAAATAACGACGGTTAAGGATATTACCATTTCATTATATCGAACTTAACAAAATAAATATACTCACATGGTTTAGAAAATACAGACATTAGCTTCTGAAAACATTAGAATTTCCAAGCCAGAGAGCTATTACGTACAATATATACCAACCTTCTTTCCTACTTTTAGAGAGTATTTTTTATGCGTAACTGTCACCAAAATTGTAAACGACATGGAGAGTGAAGTGGTAGAGGCAAGATCCATATATAGCTCTATGAAAAGATAAGAAAAGGTTCTCGAAGCCAAAATAGAGTGAACCTAGCAGTGAACAGCAGAGACGGGATCAGGAGCTGAGATACAACCTCTTCAACCACATAAAAGTGAGTACATACACACACGTACAGGCATACACAGATTTACGGAAATTGTTCAAAATATGGAAGGGCAGATAGTATTTACCTAGACTTTTTTTTTTTGTTCACAGATCAATTTTACAAGCTATGATCTGATACCGTATCTCAGCTCATTTTAAAATCAAACCATTTCCACGACATATTACCTCCGCATGGGATGTCACCCACAACAGTCAACTAACACCCAGTTACCTAATTATTGCTAGGTGAAGAGGGACAACAGTTGTAAGGCAATATGTCCAACTTTTCCACCCGTACCGGAGATTGAACCACGGACCCTCGGTATGTGAACTGTGTGCGATATCAACTTGCCCACAGGACACTAATTTGGAAATTGCAAAATATAGAAGAAATTAAAAGCTAAGTGTTACACAACAAAAGAGACGTTTTTGCTGGGGAGAAAATACCAACAGTTATAAGAGGAAAACAAATATCTTCCAGGGGAGATGTCACAAGTGGGGTGCCACAACGATCTGTCCTTGCCCAGTAATGCTTCTAATTTATATAAATAATTAACCAGGAGGAAGAAAAATATTATTTGAATATTTTTCCAGGAAATGTAAAAATCTGTTTCTCATGGAAACTATAAATTAGCTTTCAAATATATGGAGGGTGAAATGTTAAGAAAGTTATTTGTAACTAATATGAGGCAAAAAAGAAACGTTGTGTGGTGTCCACACCTGAAAAAAAGATATAGATAAGTTAGAAAATGTTCAAAGAAAAGCTTCTAAATGGCTGCCAGATTAGAGCAATATGAATTAAGATGGAAAGTTGAAAACTTTATGGATGTAAATGTTAGCTGATCGGAGGAAAAGAGAAGACATACCTACAACATATAATGTTAATGTAATGTTAATATAATGTTAATATAATGTTAAGAAAGCTATTTATAACTAATATGAGGCGATAAAGAAACGTCGTGTGGCGTCCACACCTGAAAAAAAGACGTAAGTTAGAAAATGTTCAAAGAAAAGCTACTAAATGGCTGCCAGATTAGAGCAATATGAATTATGATGGAAAGTTGAAAACTTTATGGACGTAAATGTTAGCTGATCGGAGGAAAAGAGAAGAAATAACCTCTTATAATGTCTTGAAAGGGCAGATGAAAATGTCTTAGTTCCTGCAACAATGATAACAAGAGGCAACCGTTGAAGAAAAAGTGGAGTGCAATGATAAGTAGAAAAGAAATTTTCTTGGAGTAGCTGACAAGTGTAATGCAGTGAAAGAGGAATTAGTAAGTGCTGCAACCATTAGAATTTTTAAAAATTGTAAAATAAGCAGAGCATTGGAGACGGGACACTGTGAGCGTTATTCTGTTCCTGTAGCTACAAAGAGGAAGTTACCTGGAGTATACTTGGAGGGTATTCCGGGGGTCAACACCCCCTCGGCCCGATCCATGACCAGGCTTCACGCACGAAACAGCAAAGAGGCGGGGTCAGGAGCTGAGACTCAACTCCTGCAACCACATAGAAAAGTACAAACACACACACCACCGCCGTTGACCACACCAGACACACCTTCATTGATCAGAGTTTTTCAACGCTTTTCTGCGGATATTTGTATATTTTGAGTTTTCTCGAAGACGAATAATGAAACTTATCTAGAAACGAAAACAATTAAAAACAACTTATTTTAGTGTCAATGAAGCAAAATAAGACATTTTGATTAAAACATTTTTGTCGAGCATTAGGAAGTCTGCAGTTGCAGAAGTGAGTATTAAGCAAAGTTATGTTTACCAGTGACATCATGCTCACAGTGACATATGAAAGTTTAGTGATAAGTAAAGTGTGAGGAAGAAAAAAGAAAAAAGGTGATCAGACTGCGAAGGTACAGATGCAATGATACAGTTGCAATTGCCGCGTGAATGATAGGTGAGGAAGGTCAAATGTAAGAGAATCTCCAATACAACAAGTTTAGTCATTATATACACACACACACATTTATATACATATATATATATATTGTTTACCTCAAATTCCACGGGCGCTTTATGACCATTGTGTAAACGTTTCCCAGCGAAAATAATACTAAGAATTCATACCAAAGAAGGCTGTTTGTGACTGGTTTAGGAAGAGGTTTTCCTGCGGGTCAGTGAGCTGTGGCAGCGTGATGCCTGAGAATGATATTGACGTGCCAGCACTTAGTTGCGTCAGTGCCATTACCAGTGTTGCAAACACCTGAGGGAAGAGAGGCGTGATACTTATATAGGAACTTCTTTCATTCTAAGAACTCAGATCTTAAATTCAACAAACAACATAAGATGAAAAAACTTCATTATACTGGAAAACGTTGAGAAAAATTCCTATATGTACAAAACAATAATCGGCCAGACACTGAACAAACCCGCAGAAATTTTAATAATTTATTGAACAGATCTCAGCTGACACACACACACACGAAGACACTTCTGTATGATTTATATATTTTAACCTTTTAACTGGTAATTGCAAGGAAGTTCCAAACCATATACGGAATAATATTTATGTAAATGCACATTCCATAATATATACAACAATGTTTGTTAAGAAACGTTTAAAACCACATAACATATAAATAACAGGTGAGTCTGCAAGTGCCAACAAAGAAGCCGCAGCTGCTTACCCAGATTTACTATATCAATTTCTTCCTTTATGGGAGCTTTTATTCGATTTTTATAAGTCAATAACAGAGTAAATATACAAATTTATGATGCCCCTGAGGGACATACTCCACTCATGGCATCTGCAACACTACTGCCCTCCCACTCAGCTCTTCTCTGCAGTAGCAACTTAACACTTGTTTATATCAATTAGCCAATGGTAAAATTGGTTTCCAAGAACCTATCGACGACGTTAACTGAGGACTTCCTGTATACCAGTAAGAAAATTCTGCTCAAAAATTCTTTACTATGGATTGAAAAAATATATCCCTGAAGAAGGTTAAAAAAAACGAAGGTTGACCCCTGGGTTTGGGCGTTGCACTCCCACAGTGGCAAAGCCCGACCTCTAAGACCAGATTCCGTCAGGAGCCCCCATGTGGGTGTGCATTGCGCTCTCACTGTGGGCAAAGCCGACCTCCTCCAAAAGCCCTTCACTCGTAGGAGAGTGGCACCTCACACTTCGGGCCCTTACATATAAAGACATGTCATTTCCGAAGGTACTCCGTACACGCATGCCATTTCCAAACGAACACGTCATTGACTACATCATTCAGATACTTTCTTTCTACTGGAGTCAGTTACTTAGACTTGATTCAGTATTAATTATTAAGTGCACTAAATTGCTAATTTTTATTGTCCCTTTCAATGGACCAAACCTCACTTTCTCTCTTTCTCCCTATTGCAGATTAACCCAATATGGATTTTACACTTCTTCGTAAATATGTAAATAATTGACTATGCACCTTGAAGCATCACCCTGATAGTGTGAATACTGCTGGAACTCAAGAACAGAAACTGGCAAGTAACAACTGGTGAAAGTCTCCTTCGAGAAAACAATTTTAAAGTAAGAAACCTGCTGGGAACACATGCATCTACCCTTGAAAAATTCTAGTACCAACCTGGGTGCCTATGGCAGGCTTGGTGTCATTCTGAAGAATGTTTTGACGTGAGTCTCCCTCAGGTGGGTGTTGTGGGGTGGCCACACACTCGGCCTCAACAACTACATTCTTCCTATTGTTATCCATGTCATCTGAGGAGTAACCACAAGATTCCATGTTCTTCGCGGCCATGTTTCTTATGGACAACATAGATTCAGGATGCTGACAAATGATTTCATTAAAACGTGCTTAAGGTTCTCTTACACTGAACTGCCAGCGAAGACTGGCTGACCTAATGATGGTCTCTTTATGGGGAAACGCCGTCTGTCAACTACTGACTTTATTTAACAACACTTTAAGAACTGATGCAGGACTTTCATCAAAGAAAATTAAAGAAATGTTACAAGAAGAGCCTTTATATTAATACTGATATTATAGTATGAGTGTATTAATGTTGGTAGAATTACCGACAATATGTTAAGTAAAAGGACACAGTCTTTAGTAAAAGGACACATCTTGACAGGCACAGATTGATTAATGAATCTCAACACGGTTTTGCAAAGGGGCGTTCCTGTCTTACGAATTTACTAACTTTTTTCACTGAGGTGTTTCAGGAGGTAGATCATGGTAATGAATATGATATTGTGTATATGGACTTCAGTAAGGCTTTCGGTAGAGTTCCACACCAGAGGCTATTGAGGAAACTAAAGCACACGGAATAGGAGGAGAAATTTTTTCCTGGGTAGAGGCATGGCTGACAAATAGACAGCAGAGATGTGGAAAAAGACACTTATGTACAGTTCAGGACATTTATTAAAGGAAACGTTCCGCCGCGAGTGCCTTCTTCAGTCCTAATACAGAGAAAACTAAGAAAACGCAATTATATAGTGGCAGGAGTCAGGTGAAGTGACGCGTGGGTAGAGGTGGTACTAAAGTTAAGACACATGTGCAACATCTGGATATCTTTATTGTAGACGTTTCGCCATCCAGTGGCTTTATCAATACAGGTTCTAGGACATAATTGGAAGACAGTAGAACTATATACAAAAGATGAGGTAATCAGTCCCTCAGCCTTGGAGTTAGTGTTCACAGCATCGTGGTGGAGGAGAATCTGGAGCAAAGGCAGGAAGACTGGCGGTTATATAGGCGTCTGCTGCACGTCCTGATCCACTGACGCCTATATAACCGCCAGTCTTCTTGCCTTTGCTCCAGATTCTCCTCCACCACGATGTTGTGAACACTAACTCCAAGGCTGAGGGACTGATTACCTCATCTTTTGTATATAGTTCTACTGTCTTCCAATTATGTCCTAGAATCTGTATTGATAAAGCCACTGGATGGCGAAACGTCTACAATAAAGATATCCAGATGTTGCACATGTGTCTTAACTTTCATATTGTCGGTATTTTATACCTTTTTTGCACAGAGGTGGTAGTAGTAGTAGTAGTAGTAGTAGTAGTAGTGGAACTAAGGAGGTGAGGTTAGAGAGGGACCTGATTGAACATTAAAATGGTATAAAATACCGACAGGTTGTTAGGTAAGACACATATGCAACAGTTAGGTATCTTTATTTCGAAACGTTTCGCCTACACAGTAGGCTTCTTCAGTCGAGTACAGAAAAGTTGATAGAAGCAGAAGATACTTGAAGACGATGTAATCAGTCCATCACCCTTAAAGTTTTGAGGTGGTCAGTCCCTCAGTCTGGAGAAGAGCATTGTTCCATAGTCTGAAACAATATGGAGTTGAAGTGACAGGATGGAGCCTTATATAGCGCCAGGAGGTGAGACGTAGGTCACTAGCAGAACGCAGATGTTGGGAGGTCAGGTCCCTCTCAAATCCAGCCGTTCTCACTAGTAGAGGTTGTCGAAGTTGATTGCAGGTCTGTACCAAGATACCCTTGGTACAATATGCACAATATGGCTGAACAATCAACTTGCACATAAGTAAAAGGTTATCAAAGCTATTACTTGGGTAGCATAAAAATAGGTTAGACAAATATTTCTGTTAGTGAACATTAAAATGGTATAAAATACCGACAGATATTGGATTTGAGAGAGTCTGTTTCAGGGTTCCTCCTCTGTTACGTTCTTGTGTAGTATTAGCAGCAGAGACTATGTGATGGCAGGTTTATTGTTTTGAGAAGGATTTTTGCTAATACGTCATAGATGATGTAGCTGCCTTTATTTTTCATGATTGTGTTAGAAACAACGATTAATGATGATTCAAGGCATTTATGTCTGTGGAAATTAGGTTCTCTGATCACTAGTCGGGCGTCGTTGAATTTCATTTTTGTTAGTAGGTTTACGGTAAACTTGAAATCTTAAATTGTTGTCTACTTTGTGAATGTAAAGTAAAAGGACACAAGTGCAACTAATGTGACATTTTATTGTGGCAACGTTTCGCTCTCCAGGAGCTTTATCAAGCCATTACAAACAATACATGGACATAGAGGGTATATATAGGCTCAGAGTGAGGCGCAATACTAGTGGTGGTAGTAGTAGTAGTGATAAAAGTTGTAGTAGTAGTAGTAATACAATATGGTAGAGCAATTAATTCGTACATGAGTAAAAGGATATAAAAGCTATTATTTGGGTAACATAAAAATAGGTTGGACAAATATAGACTGGTTAGAGAAGGCCTGTTTCAGTGTTCACTCTCTGTAGTGTGCTTTGTGTAGTATAACAGGAGAGACTATGTGATGGCAGGGTTTACTGTTTTCAGGAGGATTCTTGCTAAGACTTCAGAGATGGTGAAACTGCCGTTGTTTTGTTTAATTGTATTCGAAACAGCGATCAGTGCTGATTCGAGGCACTTGCGTCTGCGGAAATTAGCTTCTTTGACCACTAATTGGGCGTCCCTGAATTTCATGAGATGATTGGTGGAATTTCGGTGTTGTACACAGGCGTTGTTCAAGTTATCGTTCCTACATGCGTAAATGTGTTCATTGAGGCGGGTGTCGAGGTTTCTTGCTGTTTCACCTACGTAAATCTTATCACAGAATCCACAGGGTATAGTGTAAACTCCAGCGTTGACTGGTTCGTGGTGCTTTGATTTTGTCCTGGTTAGATCTTTTATTGAAGTGCTAGAAGCGATGGCGACTCTGGTGTTAGCTTGTGAAAGTACTTTAAAAACATTCAGTGCAACCTGGCTGTTGGGAAGAATTATAACTCTGTTGGGAGTGGTGTTGGTGCGTGGAGAATTAATGATCTGAAGAGCTCTTTTCTTGCAGTCTTTGATGAAAAAGGAAGGAAAATGTAACTCAGTGAGTGTTTGGTGAATGTATGTACATTCCTCGTCAAGAAACTCAGGACTGTTAGGTAAGACACATATGCAACAGGACTACAAATTCGGTATGCTCTAAGGAAAAACCAGATGATGATGCCTCTTTTGGCCTTGATATCTTGACTGGAATATAAGTGTGTGAGATCGTTTTTATTGGTAGGTTTCCGATAAACTTGAAATCTTAGGTTGTTGTCTACTTTGTGAATGAGGACGTCGAGGAAAGGTAGCTTGTCATTGGACTCTTCTTCTAGTGTAAACTGTTGTTAGGTAAGACACATATGCAACAGTTAGGTATCTTTATTATGAAACGTTTCGCCTACACAGTAGGCTTCTTCAGTCAAGTACAGAAAAGTTGATAGAAGCAGAAGATACTTGAAGACGATGTAATCAGTCCATCACCCTTAAAGTTTTGAGGTGGTCAATCCCTCAGTCTGGAGAAGAGCATTGTTCCATAGTATGAAACAATATGGAGAAGAAGTGACAGGATGGAGCTTTTTATAGCGCCAAGAGGTGAGACGTAGGCCACTAGGAGAGGTAAGAACTCAGATGTTGAGAGGTCAGGTCCCTCTCAAATCCAGCCCCTCTCATTAGTGGAAGTTGTCGAAGTTGATTGCAGGTCTGTACCAAGATACCCTTGTGTTGCAGTGTACAGACCTGCAATCAACTTCGACAACTTCCACTAATGAGAGGGGCTGGATTTGAGAGGGACCTGACCTCTCAACATCTGAGTTCTTACCTCTCCTAGTGGCCTACGTCTCACCTCTTGGCGCTATAAAAAGCTCCATCCTGTCACTTCTTCTCCATATTGTTTCATACTATGGAACAGTGCTCTTCTCCAGACTGAGGGACTGACCACCTCAAAACTTTAAGGGTGATGGACTGATTACATCGTCTTCAAGTATCTTCTGCTTCTATCAACTTTTCTGTACTTGACTGAAGAAGCCTACTGTGTAGGCGAAACGTTTCATAATAAATATACCTAACTGTTGCATATGTGTCTTACCTAACAACCTGTCGGTATTTTATACCATTTTAATGTTCAAGCTAGTGTAAACTGGATCGCCGGTTCAACTGCGTTGAGCCTCTCCTGAAGATTCCGTACATCAAAACCTTTGGGAGTTATTACGAGGACGTCGTCCACGTAACGTAACCAAGTGACGCTTCAAGGGATGATGTTGGCGAAGTGTTCGGACTCTTCTTTGTTTGTAATGGCTTGATAAAGCTCCTGGAGAGCGAAACGTTGCCACAATAAATTGTCACATTAGTTGCACTTGTGTCCTTTTACCTAACATAGTATGATTGTACTAGAAAATATATTGCTGCACTATTGGTAATGAGGACTTTAATGGGAATTACTGCTATTATTACTGGCCACTGAGGCTCCTCCAGGAGGAACCAACACTGAACAACTGATGCTGACGGAGGCAGCCTCAACACTCACCGAGAGTTAGAGGAAAAGAAGCATCATGTGGCCTCGCATATAATGATTACCTCAGTTTTTTTCATAAACAACGATTAACTAATGATTTTCCTCGTGATTTTTTTAATATTTTGTTGCTGGAAGCTTTATTATTGTTATCATTATTATTATTATTATTATTATTATTATTATTATTATTATTATTATTATTATTATTATTATTATTATTGGTGTTACTATTACCAGCATAATTTTTATATTTATATTCAAAGGTAAGCACTAAACCCGTTGTTCGGAATTCAGCTCCTGGATGATGACGTATTGAAACTGCTTCGTCGTATGTGTTTAAACAAAGCATTCTCGTTAAAAAAATTTACATCGTCTTTTTGTGCCATATTTCGGTTGTTTTACTAAATTGTAGATGAATTGTTCAAAGAACCGACACGTTGTTAAATTGTTAAAGTTTTACTAAACTTTAAAAAAAAATTTCATCCCCTGCGGTTCTACCTCTTCCTCATGAATACGATAATGATCTTGATGCTAATGTATTGGTGAAATGTAGCACCACTACCTCGCTCAGTGCCTCCCTCCTTCCCTCCCTTCCCTCCCTTCCCTCCTTCCCTCTCCTTCTACCTTCCTCCATCCCTTCCGTTTTCAAAGAGAACAAGTACAAAAAATATTTATAAAGAGTCGTATATATTCATTAAATAAAACTATTAAAAGATAAAAACACCGATAAAAACAACAGCAATTGAAACTTGGGCATTAACATGGCGTCTCAGCAGTGACCATAAGGATCCAGCAACAATGTTGATTTTCTATCCAAATGTCGTACTGCCAAAGTATTGAAGAGAAAGACACGTTTTGCAGAATAAGCTTTATATGGACAACGTTTCGATCTGTGTAGAACTTTATCAAGTTGAGACTTTGTAATGATCTAAACAAATGGAAACGTGGTCTCAAAGTAAGCTTATTCTGCACCGAGTATTTATATCAACATCTGTAGTGGTTGTTCCTTGATAATCATCACCAGCTGCACAACACTGGTATTCAGCTGCACAACACTGGTGTTCAGCTGCACAACACTGGTATTCAGCTGCACAACACTGGTGTTCTGCTGCACAACACTGGTGTTCAGCTGCACAACACTGGTGTTCTGCTGCACAACACTGGTATTCAGCTGCACAACACTGGGGTTCAGCTGCACAACACTGGTGCTCAGCTGAACAACACTTGTGTTCAATTACTGTTAACATTACTGGCCACTGAGGCTTCTCCAGGAGGAACCATCAGTGTACGAGTGATGTTGACGGAGGCAGCGACAACACACACTGCCAGCTAGAGGAAAAGAAGCATCATGTAGCCTCACATATAATAACAACCTCAGAAACACTGTTTGTTCTAACGACACTCTTGATTATCATACAGTTTTTTCATAAACAATGATTAACTAATGATTTTCTTCACGATTTTTAATATTTTGTTACCCGAAGCTATGTTGATTATTGTTATTGTTATTATTATAGTTACTTTATTATTATTATTATTATTATTATTATTATTATTATTATTATTATTATTATTATTATTATTATTATTATTGTTATTATTATTCTGTTTTACATTATTTATTATTCATCCTAATTATTGCTTGTTTCCATTATTATTATCATTATTATTATTATTATTATTATTATTATTATTATTATTATTATTATTATTATTATTATTATTATTATCATCATCATTATTATTATTGCTGTTTTATCATTATTTATCATCCTAATAATTGTTATTGTTTCCTCTAGTATTATTCTTATTTTTATTATTATTATTATCATTGTTGTTGTTATTGTTGTTATTATTATCATTATTATTATTATTATTATTATTATTATTATTATTATTATTATTATTATTATCATTATTATTATTATTATTATCAGCATAATGTTTATATTATATATATTCAAAGGTAAGCCCTTAACCCGTTTTTCTACGTTCAGCGCTTGGATGATAACGTACTGACACAGCTTCTCCATACCTGTTTAAAATTAGGCATTCTCTTTAAAAATTTAGCCCCTGCGGTTTTACCTCTTCCTCTTGAATACGATAATAACCCCAATGGAAATAAGTCACTCTGATTTTTTTGTGGTTATCCTAGGTTCTTTACACATATACTGCTATGTATGATAATCTACGTAAAAGTATTTGCGAATACTTGAATAAACTTACTGACTTACTTACTAAATGTGGCGTCACTCCTTTACTCAGTGCCTCCCTCCTTTCCCCTTTCCCTCTCTCCCTTCCTCATTTCCTCCATCCCTTCCGTTTCCTTGAGAAGAACATAAAAAAACTATTTATAAAGAGTTTTATATATTCATTAACCGAAAGAAATAAAAGATGGACATACTGATAAAAAACAATAGCAATTGAAACTTGGGCATTAACATGGCGTCTCAGCAGTGACCATAAGGATCCAGCAACAATGTTGATTTTCTATACAAATGTCGTACTGCTGAACTGCTGAAGGAAAAGATACGTGTTCTAGAACGAGCTTTATACGGACAACGTTTCGATCTGCGTAGCACTTTGTCAAGTAGAGACTTTGTAAAGATCTAAGAGATGAAAACGTAGTATCAATTCAGTCGACCAAAAGTCCACATGAGTTTAGCCCTTGGTGTAGTTATAATTATATTCTGTTGTCTTGACTGGTCTTCAGCGTTGAATGTTTACAGTCTTCATCTTGGTAGGACCAACTGTTGCCTGTTGTCCCTCATACCAGTCCACTTGGTGGGTTCCCAGCACATTAAGGGAGCTAATGTGGTCGGACACACTAGCTCCGTTAGTGTTATGATTCTTAAATTTTCTATCTCATTTTATTTTGTCTAATATTCGATGATACCAAAACATCAATGTCAACAGTTTTATGTGTCTGAAAATATATGCACTTATTTAGACACTTAAAATAAGAAAGAATAATATCTATTAATTTTCAAATTAGCCTTTATTTTTTTAAATATCATGTTATATTACATCATATGTAATATGAAAACAATTGATTTAATATTATAAAGAACAAAACAAATTCCTTTAAAAATGATTAATAGCAGAAGAATCCAAAATGGTATATAATACAGTAACCATCATATATGTTCATATGAATACACAGTGGGAGGCTACGGCAGTGTTGGTGTTACTTTCAGAGTTTTGTTGTTTGATACCAGTTGTTAATGTGATTTCCCGTGATCTCTTCCAGTGAGCGTCCACGAGTCTCTGTAAGAGCAACAACACTGATAATGGTTACAACTGCACTAGCACCACTGAAGAGCCAGAAAGTCCCGTGTTCACCAATTGCTTCTACTGTCATGGGATAGATATAAGCTGATATAAAGTTTCCAAACGCTAATAATAAGGAAAACACTGAATTTCCAATAGATCGACATGTTAAAGGCAGAAGCTCCCCACTCAGTATTAATAAAGCAGGAAAGCCAGTGCCGAAAAAGAAGATAAATATCATTGTTGCTGTAAGAGGTATCCATCCCATATCACTAACATATCCTGTCTTATGCATGTAAAAGTATACACCATAAGTAGCCATACACAACGAGCACAAAGAATAAAGAAACTATGATCAGTGGTTTGCGCCCCAGACGGTCAATTACAAAAAGATGAACAAAATTTCCAAAAATCCTCACACCGTAAAATATGATGGCACTGATATATGGGTCAAGGGTGAAGTCCACTGCCTGAAAAATGGGCACTGAATATGACATTATTGCAAAGCATCCATTCATACCTGTGAAGAGATTTAAAACAGTGAATAACAAGAACATGCGAACAGTTGGTTGTTCAAACAGCAGCAGCATTTGTTGCCAAGAACTGTCTAGTTTCTTATCTACATTGCTAACTTGTTGTGTGATATCCTGTAATTCTGGCTCAGAGTCATAATGTTTACCTCCGAAAAAAACAAGAGCTTTCTGAGCTTCGCTAAGACGACCTTGAGTGACGAGCCAACGGGGGGAGTTAGGCAGGAAGATGAGGCAAAAGAAAGGAATTCCAGACACTCCGCAACAAACGAAGCCCATTTGTCGCCAGTCGAGCTTGCAAAATCCTAGAATAGACACCATTAGAAGTCCCATTAGTCTAGCTAAGGTAATAATTCCAGAAAGAATTCCACGAATGTTCTTATGAGCAATTTCAATGGTATATAGGAAAGCAGCGGTAAAGGTGATGCCATTGGTGAAACCCAGAATGGTGCGACTAGTTAAGATCAGCCAGACAGTTTGAGAAAGTGCGAGACTGAGCCATGAAGCTACAATGATGGGCAGGGTCACCAGGAGAGTCACTCGACGACCAAGCTTCACTACTAGTGGTGCACTCACACAACACCCAACAGCTCCTCCCAGGTATCCCAGGCTTCCTGAAATAAAGAGTTTTAGCGAAATTACTATTTAAATATATAGTACTTAACAAAACAAAAATATTGACATGGTTTACGATATATCCACAGTAGCTTCTGAGAAAAATAGAATTTCCAAGCCAGAGCGAGTACGTACAGCTTATGCCAACCGTCTTCCCTACTTCTAGAGAGTATTTTTGATGTTTAATTGTCACGAAAACTGTAAATGACATGGAGAATGAAGTGGCAAGATCCAATACGAAGCTTCATGGAAAATTAAGGTAAGGTTCTCGAAGCAAGAAAAGAGTGAACCTAGTAATGAGCAGCGAAGAGACGGCATCAGGAGCTGAGATGAAACCCTTGCAGCCACATAAAAATGAGTACACACACACACACACACACACACACACACACACACACACACACACACACACTCACAGAAGGGAACATCAAGAGGGAATATACCAACAAATGTTGGATGACATACGAACAACCGATACCTTGATACCTCAAAGGCGATGGGACCGGACAACATCTCCCCATGGGTCCTTAGAGAAGGAGCAGAGATGCTGTGCATGCCCCTAACCAAAATCTTCAACACATCCCTTGAAACTGGGCAACTACCTGAGGAATGGAAGACAGTAAATGTAGTCCCCATATTTAAGAAAGGAAACAGAAATGAGGAACTAAACTACAGACCTGTGTCTCTGACATGTATTGTGTGCAATGTCATAAAGAAGATTATCAGGAGGAGAGTGGTGGAACACCTGGAACGGAACAAGATTATAAATGAAAACCAGCATGGGTTCATGGAAGGCAAATCCTGTGTCACAAACCTCCTGGAGTTTTATGACAAGGTAACAGAAGTAAGACACGAGAGAGAGGGGTGGGATGATTGCGTTTTCCTAGACTGCAGGAAGGCCTTTGACACAGTTCCCCACAGGAGATTAGTGCAGAAGCTGGAGAATCAGGCGCATATAACATGGAGGGCACTGCAATGGATCAGGGAATACCTGACAGGGAGGCAGCAACGAGTCATGGTACATGAAGAGGTATCACAGTGGGCGCCTGTGACGAGCGGGGTCCCACAGGGGTCAGTTCAAGGACCAGTGCTATTTTTGCTATATGCGAACGACATGATGGAACGAATAGACTCTGAAGTGTCCCTATTCGCAGATGATGTGAAGTTGATGAGAAGAATTAAATCGGATGAGGATGAGGCAGGACTGCAAAGAGACCTGGACAGGCTGGACATGTGGTCCAGAAACTGGCTTCTCGAATTCAATCCTATCAAATGCAAAGTCATGAAGATTGGGGAGGGGCAAAGAAGACCACAGACAGAGTATAGGCTAGGTGGACAAAGACTACAGACCTCACTCAGGGAGAAAGACCTTGGGGTGACCATAACACCGAGCACGTTACCGGAGGCACACATCAACCAAATAACTGCTGCAGCATATGGGCGCCTGGCAAACCTGAGAATAGCGTTCCGATACCTTAATAAGGAATCGTTCAAGACACTGCACACTGTGTATGTTAGGCCCATACTGGAGTATGCAGCACCAGTCTGGAACCCACACCTGGTCAAACACGTCAAGAAGTTAGAGAAAGTACAAAGGTTTGCAACAAGGCTAGTCCCAGAGCTCAGGGAAATGTCGTACGAGGAAAGGTTAAGTGAAATCGGACTGACGACACTGGAGGACAGAAGGGTCAGGGGAGACATGATAACGACATACAAGATACTGCGGGGAATAGACAAGGTGGACAGAGATAGGATGTTCCAGAGAGGGGACACAGAAACAAGGGGTCACAACTGGAAGCTGAAGACTCAGACGAGTCACAGGGACGTTAGGAAGTATTTCTTCAGTCATATAGTCGTCAGGAAGTGGAATACCTAGCAAATGAAGTAGTGGAGGCAGGAACCATACATAGTTTTAAGAAGAGGTATGACAAAGCTCAGGAAGCAGAGAGGGAGAGGACCTAGTAGCGATCAGTGAAGAGGCGGGGCCAGGAGCTGAGTCTCGACCCCTGCAACCACAATTAGGTGAGTACAATTACGTGAGTACATACATACGGAATTTGTTCAAGATATGGATGGACAAATTGTGTTTCCCTAGATTAAAGTTTTTTTTTTTTTTACAGACCAATTTCACGAGCTATGATCTGACATTGTACCTCAGCTCATTTTAAAGTCAATCCCTGTCTAAGGTATACTACCTTCACTTGGGATGCCTCCCACAACAGTCAACTAACAGTTGTAAGGCAACATTTCCAACGTTTCCACCCGTACCGGAGATTGAACCACGGACCCTCGGTATAAGAACTGAGTGCGCTACCAACTTAGCCAAGGACACTAATTTGGAAATTGCAAAATTTAGAAGAAATTAAAAGTTAAGTATTACACTGCAAAAGAGACTTTTTGCTGGAGAGGAAAATGTCAACAGTTAAAAGAGGAAAACAAATATCTTCGAGGGGAGATGTCACAAGTGGGGTGCCACAACGATCTGTCCTTGCCCAGTAATGCTTCTAATTTATATAAATAATTAACCAGGAGGAAGGAAATGTTATTTGAATATTTTTCAAGGAAATGTAGAAATCTGCTTCACACGAAAGCTATAAATTGCCTTTCAAATATATGGAGGGTGAAATGTTAAGAAAGTTATTTATAACTAATATGAGGCAAAAAATAAACGTTGTGTGGTGTCCACACATGAAAAAAAGACGTAAATAAGTTAGAAAATGTTCAAAGAAAAGCTACTAAATGGCTGCCAGATTAGAGCAATATGAATTATGATGGAAAGTTGAAAACTTTATGGACGTAAATGTTAGCTGATCGGAGGAAAAGAGAAGAAATAACCTCTTATAATGTCTTGAAAGAGCAGATGAAAATGTCTTAGTTCCTGCAACAATGATAACAAGAGGCAACCGTTGAAGAAAAATAAATTTTCTTGGAGTAGCTGACAAGTGTAATGCAGTGAAAGAGGAATTAGTAAGTGCTGCAACCATTAGAAATTTTAAAAATTGTAATATAAGCAGAGCATTGAAGACGGGACACTATGAGCGTAACTCTGTTCCTGTAGCTACAGGCAGGTAATTACATGGAGTATATCGGTAGGGTATTCCGGGGTTCAACACCCCTTCGGCCCGGTCCAGGACCAGGCTTCACACAAACACACTCACGCACACGGAACAGCAAAGAGGCGGGGTCAGGAGCTGAGACTCAACTCCTGCAACCACATAGAGAAGTACAAACACCCACACCAACGCCGTTGACCACACAAGACACACCTTCATTGATCAGAGTTTTTTGATGTTTTTCTGCGGATATTCGTATATTTTGAGTTTTCACAAAGACGAATAATGAAACTGATCTAGAAACGAAAACAATTAAAAACAACTTATTTTGGTGTCAATAAAGCAAAACAAGACATTGTGATTAAAATATTTTTGTCGAGCATTAGGAAGTCTGCAGTTGCAGAAGTGAGTATTAATCAAAGTTACCAGTGACGTCATGCTCACAGTGACATACACATATCGCTGAGTTTTAATGAAAGTATAGTGATAAGTAAAGTGTGAGGAAGAAAAAAAAATAAGGTGATCAGACTGCGAAGGTACAGATGCAATGATGCAGTTGCAGTTACCGCGTGAATGATAGGTGAGGAAGGTCAAATGTAAGAGAATCTCCAATACAAACAAGTTTACTCATTACATATATATATATATAATATATATATATATATATATATATATATATATATATATATATATATATATATATATATATATATATATATATATATATATATATATGTATATATATATATATATATATATATATATATATATATATATAATATATTTATATATATTATATATATATATATATATATATATATATATATATATATATTATATAATGTATATATGCAATAAGATCACAGTAAACAAGTGATTTCAGAATATGCAAAACAACCACTGTGAAAGAATAGAGAAATTCCAAGCGCTTTCGTGACTCCTCACATTATCAAGGAACAATGAAAGTAATGCGTCAAAGGAAGGCATATAAAGAGTCGAGCCCACACCTCACTATCACATCCCACAACAAGGCAACACCTGACGTGCGACTCATAAGAAAGGGGACACTGCAGCAGGCCCGCTGGCCCAACTAGACAGGCCCTTCACACAACCCACCAACAAACTATTCTACCCAAGAATTAAGAATTTTTAAATTTATTATTTGTCAAATGTATTATTAGATTCTTCCCAAATTTTATTAATTATAAATGGATCTAATTTATATAAACCAAAGGAAATATTCATATTATTGTCAAAACTGCTTTTTATGAAACAAGATTCAATTATAGTCCTGTAGACCATGGACTTGCTTGATACAACTTTCTCAACTTTTTGAAAATCAATTGGATGGTTAAAATCTCTCACATGAATAAATAGATCATTGGAATCTTGTCCAGTTCTAATGCTATATTTATGTTGTTTTAATCTTAGTTCGAGATTTTTACCAGTTTGGCCGTAATAAACTTTATCGCAAATTTTTCAAGGAATCTTATAGACATATCCGTCAGCATTTTGGGGGGAATTCTTTATCAAAAGTTTTTTACTGTATCAAGATTTTTAAATACAACTTTGATATTAAAAGTCTTAAGAAGAGAAGGCATATCAACCAAGTTTCCATGGTAAGGGAGAACCAACATATTTTTAGTTGAATAAGGCTGGTTGTCCCGTTTTGGATTGTAAAAAGTATTTCTAGCATTTTTAAAAGATTTATCAATTACGTTTCTCGGGTATTTCAAATCATTATGTATTTCATAAATTTTGAATATTTCCTCATCTATGAACTCTGGACTACAAATACTTAAAGCTTTCAAATACATTGATGAGAAAACAGACAGTTTAACTCTATCTTGATGTCAAGAATAATAGTGGACATAGGAACAGTTACTTGTAGGTTTTTTGTAAATTTTAAATTTGAATTCATTATTACCCTTAATAATTAAAACATCTAGTAAAAGCAATGCGTTATTTTCTTC